TTGCTAATATCTTTGAAATCAATAGCTGACGTCATACATAAGTGTCTTGGGCCTTAGAAGATGACAAGATAATCGAAAGCACGGAGTGTAACAACAGAAGACAAGGGCCAGGCAACAGATCGTTTATTAAGGAAAATCAACACATATTTATAGATTTTAATGTACATTATTGTAGATTATTGTTAGTAGAAAATACAGTCTTTTGATTGGTTGTTTCGCACAGAAAGTTAACCTTGCATCTCTTTGTGGCTGGCTGTGTCAGAGCATTTATATGCTAACTGTATCCGCCTACGCAAAGCCTTTGTTCTCATTTTCTCACCACCAATATTTGGGACATAAACATTGACTTCAATTACTGTCTACCAACTTTGGCTAGCAGCCAGCTCTCACCACAGGAGTACTAAGCAACCGATGTGCCAAAACTGTTTTGATACGTCTGAAACCTCTAGTAATATTTTATATCCATTATACAAAATAATTTAAGAAAATATCTAAGACAATAAAACATGTAATATATGCTTAACTGCCAGGGACGGTGCAGCTGTTGATATCTTTGGACATCGTTTAGCATAGTAGTGAAGTGTAGGCTGTGAGAATGTTAGGAATCAGTGGCTGGAGACTGTCAGTTGATTACGCAACATTCTTGGAACTTTAAATCTTCCCACATTTTATCTTTTATGTCGAAATTATTACCATATGTTGGTTTGCGGGGATTCAATATGATTGGGTACAGGATTTCATCATGAGATGACGTTGATTAGAGAACTATTGTGAAACTATCACTGGAGTACTTGATAGCTGTTTCGTCAGCCTAGTTTGGGACTCCTCATCAGTACGACGTACCTACTCCACTTCCGGAATTCGAGCCCAAGACTTTCCGGTTACAAGGGGAGCCATCCCAAGCCGTTCAGCCCACTGGAACCCAATCCAATAGCCAGCCAGTGCATGAATTCCAACTTCTGCCAATTCACTCACGATATAGACCGACTAGCACTAGCCAGTGTCATCCGTGGCGAGTATTTGTCCTCACACCCAACCTGATGTACCCCACTGGTTGGTCACGACTCCTCACTAGGATGCATCCTGCCTGAATAAAGGGCCAGTCACCGCTAGTGGGCATCAGCCTGATATTCAAGTGTTGGTTTGTAGGGATTTGATTTGATTGGTCCTGGGTTCGAACCCCGGTAGGTGCGTACTGATGAAACAGTTGGCTTTCCAGTTCTCCAGTGTTGGTTTCTATTCCCTGCGACTTTTGCTGTTAATCTGCCAGCTAGGAAAAGACGTAAAGTACCATAAAAATCACTTAAATTGATGCTAATTTTTCATTTCCAGACACCCACCTACAGTAGGCAGATTAAAAATTTCCATTTTTGAAACATTCAATCTGAGAGGGAATTTCCCTTTAATTTTTTGTGCTTTGATATAACTGGTAAACATTACTGGTGAACATGAACACTATCCAACTATCCTTGATGCATTTTAAATGTTTCAACTGAGAGTATTTTGAACCGTAGACACTTTCAGCTAACACTTACAAAAAAATATACCTCATGACTTGATACTAAAATGGGAAGAAGCCAACACAGGTTATTCATGTGACTTAACTGATCAAATGTTTGGGGGCAAGGAGAAAAAGAACGCAGAAGTCACATTTTTCGTCATATTTTGTTTGTTATTTCTTATATATATAAAGTATTTTGTTTTGACTTCATTTTTTATCATTGAATAAAAAAATAAATGCACAAATATTTGGCTTCGTTACTTAAGGAATTTCAGTAATCCACTGATTAATTAGGTCAGTAGACTGGTAAGTGTTTATTCATCACTTCGCTTGGGAGATGTTCGCCGCATTGAAAGAATAATTTTTTTAAAAAACTTCAGCATTGTATAGTGGAACCTGTAGTGTGAAAATCTGAAGTGTATTTTGGCGATTGGCGGTTGCATGACTCAGTTGTTAGACTGTCGTACTAGTAGTTTTGGAGACTCCGTGGATCGAAAGGTACTATGGCAATGTTTGACTGTGAAGAGAGTGCCAAGAAAGTACATTGCACTAATCAAGGCACTCTACTCAAACTCACGTAGCCGTGTAAGGGCTTATGGGAATTGTCATCTGAATTGATAACAACCAGTGGTGTCCGTCAAGGATGTCCACTTTCCCCTTTTCTGTTTAACTTCATCATAGATATGCTAATGGAAGTATCCTTAACTGAACTTAACGACTTAGGAATCGACTTGTTACCAGGGAATAGTCTTATGGACTTAGAATATGCAGATGACATAGTCCTGTTAGGGGAGGATGCTGACAAAATGCAGAGTCTTCTGAACACCTTGAGCAGCAATCTTCGTATGTTTGGCATGCGATTCACCCCTGTAAAATGTAAGATGCTGCTACAGGACTGGACTACGTCTACCCCTAGCTTAGTGATAGGGAGTGAAGTGATAGAACATGTTGACCACTTCACCTATTTGGGAAGTTGTATCAGCACCAACGGATTGATTGGTGACGAAATCTCAGCACGGATCCAAAAAGCTCGAGCTGCTTTCGCTAACTTACACCATCTCTGGCGTAGACGTGACATCCGGCTATCAACCAAGGGACGTGTGTACTGCTCAGCAGTTCGCTCCGTCCTTCTCTATGGCTCTGAAACATGGCCAATACGAGTTGAAGACATGAAAAGATTGTCTGTTTTTGACCACAGATGAGGCAGTAACTCATCGAAGAAGACACTGCGAAATGGACGCGCTCTGTCGGGAATTGGTAGAAGTTAGGATTCAAGGACCATTGGATCGGGTCCCAGTGCCTCAATGGTCTACGAGCTCGCCTTGTAACCAGAAGGTTCTGGGTTCGAACCCCGGAGAATGCGTACTGATGAAGAGTCCCAAACTAGAACGAAATAGCTGTTCAGTACTCCCAGGTTTTCCAGTGGTTCTCTAACTGATGTCAGCTCATGATGAAATCCTCCATGCAATCAAACGAAATCCCTACAAAACCAATACTTAAAATTTTTTTACAGGGAACGACTAATGAAGAGGTTAAGACCAAGGTAGAATAAGAGACTGGACAAACTTTTTCTGTATATAGAGTTCGGAGTTGTACTGACGAATCGCCAGCGCCTACGCCACACACAAAAGCCGAAACCTGATGCCCTTTGTACCATTTGGCCTCACATTGTAGATAATCTTGAAAGACGACTCTGATGGAGCTACGTGGCTTGAGTTCACCAAATGCTTGAGAATTGAGCTAGTAATTGTCTTGCATTGTTCAGAGATGCATTTGAAAAGTGTGCGTTTTGTGCGGCCAATATACCTAGCTCCACAGGAACAAGTGAATTTATAAGCACACATTGAAGTGAACCAAAGTGGCTGCAGTTTATCCTTCACACATCCATTGATCATTTGTCAGCTGTGGAAATTGATACGTAGCTCAGCCGTAAAGAAGGCTTTCCTAAGTGATCTGCATAAGCGATTCTTCAGGATCTCAGCTGCGGTATGACCTTTAAATTCAGCGCTCATGATCACCAGTTTCTTCAGCACCGTCTAGGTTCTTTCAGGCTTTTGCTTTAACTTCATGTTTTTCTCGATGAATCTTGAAGGATATCCATTCTCTATGAGGACTTGTCTGAGTCGCTCCAGTTCACCATCGATTGTATCACCGGAACATATCCTTCTTATTCTTGAGGATAAGAGTGTGTCGGTTTCCTATAAATGCTAGTTGTATCTAACCACCCACCATCTTGTTTTCGTTTTACTCTACAGTCTAGTCTAGCATGGACAACTCACCCTGTTCATTTTCTAACTCAGAAGTGAATTGGATTACAGTCTACCATGGATATATGGAAAGTGGCAACAAACAACAAAGGGAAGTTGGGGAGACAGAAAAACAGACATATTTTGGAATCGTGTTACTCAAGTGCCATAATTATGAGCAATAAACTTAGCTCGAAACCTTGTCATCCAGTTGTTAATAGTACTGCATCATCACTGTGTGTGACATTTAAAATAAACTTGATATAAGAATAAAACTTGTGCACTGTGGCAGTAGAGTATAATTCCATTATGGGTCAAACTTATTTTGATAAAGTCTCACAGTGTGTTATACAGTAATATTTACTGATGACCACGTTTCCAGCACAATTTATTACTGCAGCTTATAATCATATCAAGGTACTCACACAACTTTCTAACTTCGTTTATATAATTCCATTATTTTTCATCGCTTGATTTGATTGGTATATGTATGAGTGATGAATCATTCCTATCGCACTTGTTGGGTGCAGACCCGATGAACAAGGGTTCAGTAATCAAACTCTCTCGCTCTCCACCTACTTATTAGAATTTTAACCCTCTCCCACCCTAATGTGTGGTTGCGTGTTAGCGCATGCAGTGCAATCTCTGAGCTTTTAACTAAATTACTGATCTGTCTCCTTGGGGTCAATCATTCTAACCTTAACCACTAAATTCTTATGTTCTGATAATCTCACTACTCCTGATCTACTAGTTTGACCTATGTAGTTGATTTCACTCACAGTCATTGCAAGGTATTTTGTAAATTATATTATTTTCTCTAATCGGGTCAACCAATAGCTCCTCTAGCCTACAGAGCTTGTCCTATCTGAGTGAGTTTTTAGGTTTGAATGCCCCTCTAATTCCTGCTTTATTACGAATCCTACGTGGGGAGGGTCTCAGATGTCTCCTCCTTATATGGTATAACTGTGGATGCCTTATATTCTCTCTTATTTATGTTATCATTACTAGTTTCACAATTATTTTTATTTTGCTTTTGACCTTTCCTGATCTTCCTAATGAATTTTATAGGATAGTTAGTTATTTGACACCAACACTTCTTCTATCTGTTTCATTTCATCATTTAGGTCTTTTCTTGTACCACTAAACTTATCTAATATCGAAGGAATTAGAATAACCACTTCAGAATCAAACCATAATTCATTCCAAGATATTTTTAAAAAATTTTACTTTATTTTATTTTATTTTAATTCTAGGCTCCATTACCAAATACATTTGAAGATTTTTGGACAATGATATGGGAACAGAATACAAGTGTGATTGTTATGCTGAGTAAAATTATTGAAAAAGGTCAAGTTAAATGTGATCAATATTGGCCAACAGTCAGTGGAACGCTTATATTCTCTAATTTAATTATAACCCATATAGAAACAACTGAATTGGCAAATTATACAATCCGCAGTTTTGAATTACGCAAAGAAAGGTGAGTTGAGAATGATTGTGAATAGAAAGATTGTTATTTAAGCTCAGTTACAATTTGAATTAAAAATGAATATTTGGAAAAACCACGTCCCATTTCTAAATACCAATAGGATGAAATACATTTGATGCACAGACACCGATGGAAATTTGACGTCATCTGACTGACTGACTGGGTTCAATGTAGAACTTTGCACAGGTGTGCACAAGTTCCAGTCGCCACACTCCCTTCTTGTAGCACACAAAGTGAGAGAAGACAGCAAAGAGAGATTCAAAAGAGAGCGAGGGAGACAGATAATAAACAGAAGTGTGAGTGAGGGAAAAAGAATAGTAAAATGCGAGAAGAATAGAGTTTAATTGGATATGATAAATCACAAAGAGTGAATGCATCTATGCTGTCACTGACAACGAGGATTCTGAGTCATATCACCAATTGTCTTCAGCCACCTCTATTGGTTCCCACCATCGCATGGACCGCAACTCGTCAGTCAGGAAGTCTACACCTCCCTACGTGGCTGGCTGGTTTAAACTAACTGTTATGGATTTAATTGACTGATGGAGCTATGTTTTGCTTTGACCACCACTAGCCAACTCTTTTCCAACCTCATCCATCCTATGTCAATGGCTAACACTGTCCGGTGTCGAGGAAGGCGATCGATGGCTAAGCTAGGCTGGGCATGCGTGACACGTGCCCTAATCATCTCTGTCAGTCCATGTAACTTCATTACACAACCTCGTTGACTGATCTCCCCTCCAACTCACCTAGCACTCACTCGACTGAAGCCTGACCTCAATATTGCCCACTTTATTATACCACGCCACCTAACATACATGAGAGATAGATCGCAGACAGGCACGTATGATCCAAGATAGCCAAGTAGCCGGCATTTTCACGTCATCCAGTTCCAATGAGAGCTGAGCAGTACACATACCATTTGGTCGACAGCCAGCGCTGCCAGCCCGTTGGATATCACTTCTACTAAGCCGGAGATGGCGTGAGTTGTCTGTCAAATGTCAAACGAGCCTTCTGCATCTTTGCTGAGATTTTATCAGCGACTAATCCTTTGGCGTTGGCTGATGCAACTTCACAAATAAGTGAAGTCGTTAACAGGCTCAGCCCCCGGTTCACTCCATATCTTTAAGCCAGGAGTGAGTCAATGCAGTCTAGTCCACTCATTTAGCTTCATCTTACATTTGACTGGAGCGAATGGCATGCCAAACATTCGCAGTCTGTTCAATGCTCCAAGTGTTCACAAGACTCTGCATTTTGTCAGCGTCTTCATCTAGAAGGTATATACCATCTGCATATTCTAAGTCAACGAGATTGTTCCCTAGTGGTAACAAGTCAGTCCCTGAGTTGCTGAAGTCCATTAGTACAGAATATGCTGTTGTATTTCCCCACTCGAATAGATTTCCCTCTCGTAGCCGCTTTAGAACCTATTCTGTTTGAGATTACCTGACAGCTATGCTTAAATTAGGTCACTGGTTTGAAGCTTTCACTAATCTGGCCTCTAAATTTAGAAAAGTACAGGTTTTTTGCAGGTTACACCGATAGTGCATTGGTAATAAGGAGTTTAATTAGTATTTTGCGGACTTTTCTTTCTCTAAATCCATGTTTGACTTTTCCGATGACATTACTGAATGACAAATATCATCCATTTTTCAACTAACTTTACACTGTATTAAGTACTTTATTTTCGTGAATTAACCTGCTGTTAAGAATAAACTTGTTTAAATATTTTTTGATTAAATGTGTTCTCTAAGCTGGTCGATTTAACTGCGAAGCTTTGCCGTCGTTCACCTTTTCAACACAGCATCGCGTCAGTGCAGGTTTTAGTATAAATTAACTCATTTAAACTCCCCATGAATGATGTATTTGTTCCTCTTATCATGACTGGTTGTTAATTTAAGTCTCCGTTGATCATTCGAACTTTATTGCTATGTGACTTACACCGATTCACTTAAGTACCAGGCTTCTAGAAATTCGGCGTTTTGTCTGTTCAAAATTTCTACATTATCCCAATCATTTAGTTGGTGTCCATAATTATCTACATGTATTGATACGAAAGAATATATATATCATATCCTTTTAAAGCCAATTTGTGTTCTTGGATTCGGATTCGAAGGGGACGCCCACTTTGTTGACCGATGTAATGTTTATTGCAGTTCATGCATGCAATTTATTTTGTAAATGGTATTAATTTTATCTTGTTTTCCTGTTGGATGGGTCTTTCGATTTGCACAATATCGAATGAAGTGATTTTGCTGGCTGGCTGGCAGGCATTGTCATATAGCCACCTGTAAAATGAGGTTGACAAAGATATAGGGTTCCCAAAACTAATTCACAGTCAATGCTTTGAAGGCCTTTTCGAAGTCGGTGAAGTTGAGGTAGAGAGTGAGAGTTGACTGCCATTCTATGCTCTGTTCGATGACGATGGGTAGAGATGCAATTCGATCAGCACATGATTTGCCTCTCTTGAATCCACCTTGTACCGGTGATCTGACACAGTTCTGCATCCAGTGCAACTTTTATTCTCTCCAGAATTACAAGACTTAGTATTCCACTTGGCTTGGACAAGAACATGATTCCACTCCAGTTCTTGCACAGGCCTAAGTCACCCTTCTTCCGCAGTTTGACAAGGTAGCCAGCCTTCCTTCCAATCAGTAGACACCTTTCCAACCCTCCAAACTGTTTGCGATAAAGGCGTCAGGATGTCCGCTGCAATCTCTAGGTCTGTTGTCAGTACTTCGGGACGAACCCCATCTGACCCTGCCGTCTTCCTGGCCAGTGTTCAACAGCTTGATTGCATTCAAGATTTCTACTTTTGTTGGTGGACTGGTGTCCACTGGTAGATAGTTCTGTGCGTGCTGTTGCCGGTAGTGGCATTTCTGGGCGAGTTGCTGGTGATGGTCGGGACCTTTTTGAAATTTATGTAGCTGGCAAGCCTGTGAAATCTTCTCATTCTCTCTAATTCTGCAAAAAAGACACAGTTGCACAGAAATGCAGTCTATACGTTAAGTCGTATTAACCTAAATAAACACTAAATTAATTATATGAAGTGGTCATCCCTCCGGTCATCGTCTACATGGATATAAGTTAGCCGTGGAACTTCATGATACACCTTTCGATCTAATGCGAACAGTAAATTTCAACTATGGATTGGTGGGAATTTGTACAAAGAATTTTTAGAAGCTTCAATCTTTAGTCCCTCTGCAATCAGCATATACACGAATTTACATCTGATCCATATATCAATAGGGAAAGCGAGAAAGCACCATGACGCTGGAGATTAAGCTATCAAAGTGACATACTAAAGTAAAAACGGCTGTTGAAATGACTGAGCACTGGTAAGAAATGTATGGGGAAAATCCAGTACCTGACTGCTTTCTGAAGCTTCTCGCTGAAGATGTTATTTTAGAGTGATATTGAATCTCTACAGTAAAATCATTCAGTCTGTTTCCTTTTGATGCAAGCATAGTAAACTCTGTTACTTCGCAAAGTAACATTCTCTGTCGAAAATATTAATGATGAGATCTCATGCATACTTTTAAAGCTTTGGGAATTATCTCCCTATTTCTGGCTTTAACAATCAATTGATTGGATAAAGTGGTTATTCATTCTCCATAGTATAATAGTATTACTTGATGTGACACACAGTGATGCAGGATTACTTATTTACTGATGATGTAGATATGATGGAGAAGATTTGCAGCTCAGGTGGATGATTTTGATGTGGTTATGTTCTCTGAGATGGATAGTTAATTTGCAAAGCTTTCATCGCCCTACCAAGCAACATCTTCAGCGCATACTTCAATTTGTTGAAGTAAGCTTTTAGATTTCTCATCAAAAGACATACACCCCCAAGCCAACCTATCAAACCAAAGGCCCCCAAGGAAAGCACAAAGAAAATCGCCCTACCATATGTATAAAGGACATCTCAGAAATCACTGCAAGACTCTTCAAACATTTAGGAATTGACATCGAACACAAACCAACAAAATCTTTTCACTCAGCTGGCACCGCGTCAACCAAAAGACTCAACAACGAAAGAGGATAAAACCAACATCATCTACAAAATAAATTGTAACAATTGCGAAAAACACTACATCGGCCAAAGTAGACTCCCCTCCTCTTCGTCTTCGTATCCATGAACATAAGCTGGCTGTCAAAAGATATGACATCCACTCCGTTGTATCACCTCACTGCATACAGACAACCACGGACATCAATTCGACTGAGACAACCAGAGTTCAACTATTAGACAGAGGAAACACCAAGAATACTTGAGAATTTTTAGAAGCCTGGTATTTCAGTGGGCCGTCAATCAATAGACACATCGACATAAACAAAATTCACCAACTGATAAGAAGGAAATCTCATACACACACAAAGGGTTAAAGTTTGAGTCAAAGAAACAATCAGTTCCAATACAAGTAGCATAGAGGGTGTGAAAACACACAAAACAAACCTATCACATTCAAGGTCACCAGGAGAGATGACCAGTAAACTCGTGGAGAAATCTAAAAGCTCACCTCAAATTGAAGTGTGCGCAGATGTTGCCAAGTGGTGAGGCAATGAAAGCTTTGCAAATTAACTATCCAGCTCAGAGAACACAACCACATCAAAATTACTGATGATGTCTCTAGCATAAATTGTGGCTCATATTTATACTTTCAAATTTTGTCCACATAGTTCCATTACTTATTCTCCTTTTACTTTATGATTACTGATGTATTCTATATCTCTAGATATTGGTGTGACACCATTCTTACTGCAGGTATTCGATGCAAGTTCCATGGACGAAGATTTATTGATCAATCTTTCCTTCCACTTAAGTATATTACCTTTTATAACTGTAGCTCCTTACCCCTCGCCTCCCCTGACTATTCTGTGATTCTGTGCTAGTGAGTACAGCGTGATGCTTGCCTTTCTCTAAATTTGTGATGTTCAAATAATATAACTGACTTCGATCTAAACTGACATGATTATGAGGAATAATTTAT